GGTCTAAAGTTGTGGTCGCCGCATGTCGTGACCTGGGCATTGCTTCTGGGGCCTGCCTAGCCATATTCGTGATTTTGTTTTCTCAGGGTTCTGGCCAATAAGGAAAGGCGGTGTCATTGCGGGATACATCGTTAATATTGATGAAGAGCAACTCCAATGTGGGAAGAATCATCGCTCAAAGAGCGGAATCCAAAACCACCATTCGCAAAACTCCACCCCGACCCCAACTCCTGCAACCAAGCCCCAATCCTAGAGTCCTAGAGCTTGCCCCCAAAGAGTCGAGACCCCAGTCAAAGCATCTGCTAGTTGCCAGTACCACTGATTTGGATATCAGTAGTAGGAGAGATGAAATTCCTTGTGCAGCTCTTTGATTCTGTGTAGGTGAGCCCATGAAACCCAGAATCATCCAGAATCTGCAGTATGCTGCCAAGGCGTGAGCTGATTTACTGCTCGCGACCTAAGCTCCTGACCTACTGGCAGCGCCTTGACAATTTCGGGCAAGGCAGATGGGGGGAGTTTATAGGGCGTGTAGAGATGATAGAGGTTCTGGGTCTAAGGTGGTTTGTGGCTAGCACGGGAACAGTGGTTGTCCGTACAGCTGCTAGTTGTGAGTGTAGCATGTGTTGGAGGGTATGAGAGGGGTCAGAAGATCAGCCTCCCTTGATTCAGGGCCTGCCGTATTTTTTTCAAGTGACGGTCCTGCGATTTGGGGCGAACTATGATGTCTTGACATACATTTGCTCGTGTTATCCTCATGTTGCTGACTCAGCAAGCTGACGACGGGGTTGGATGGTTCCGACCCCGTTTCGCACAGTCATAGTTTGTCTGATTGCCTAAGTTGGTGTCTATTCCAGGCATGGTCCGCGGCCATAGCTGCAACAAAGAAGCTGGCCATTTGCTCCCCGTGCTATGTGAGTAGGTCCTTCAGGGTGAGGTAGACACCCTTCCCTCACACTTCACGGCTTATGCCTTCAGCCCTTAACCGTACAATCCGTCGCGGCAGTACGACAGGCCTCCCCGCCCTTGCAGTTTCCAGGCATCGTCCCAGTTTCTGCATGGGCACGGGCAATGCGAGCGTGCGTGCCAAGCTTAGAAGTGGTGAGCGTCGTGGTTTTGGTTTGGCCTACCTGGGGTAGGGGTCTTAGGGCTTGCGCCTTCCGGTTTTGATAAAAGTTTGGTGGGATGGATTGGGGGTGGACGCTCAGATTCCTTCCAAAAGCTTGATGTGCGATTGCCCTGCTCTTCATGCTGTAAGGCTCAGAATTTGAGGCGCTCTGGATACGTGGCTGCTGGGTTACAACCTTTGAGAGATCCTGTGGCTCACGGAACGAGTCAGAAACCCTCGGTCGGATAGACTTTAACAACAGGCACGTACAGTCCCTCCAGTACAAAACTGCAAGAACACTCGCCTGCGTGTGCTCGAATGCCTTCCCCAAAGTCTTGTCATGGTGGCTAGATGTATTCTCTCCTACAATTGGGAACAGATTTGCTGGTGAGCAATCTGGTCTGAGTTTCCATGGATTCAAGCAACAAGTTTGAATGTGACCGGCTTGTCTGGCCCTGAACAGGTCAGTGATTGTACTTGTACCTCATTGCTGCGCAGCTTTGCTAAGCCCTTCACGTCGATGAAGTGTGCATGTTGCAGGGGTTAAGGGACCCAGATGTTCAGGCAGCTCAAAAGTCGGCCTCTTGAGTGCTCGTTCAATGGTTGAGGTGTGGAACTCTGGCTCAGCGCTCCTTGTTAGTAAGGCATGAGTGACTTGATGCCAATAGAAGTACATATAGCCCCGAACCTATTCCGTATGCATGCCAGCCAGTTGTAAAGGACGTTTTGCTTATGCCGCATCTGGCGCGAAAGGGAGTGGAGAAGTCATACGCGGGTGGCGCACACATTGTCGCTGAGGTTGTAGCGGACGATGAATTCCCCTGGGCTCGGGGACCAAGTCCCTGCCGGAACTAGATGTTGATCCTTCATTGGTGGGTGTGTGGTCATTGAGCCCCCACCTTTTAACTCCCTGGATAACTAGACTTGATCCAAGGGCTCAAACGTCTAGTTAGGGCAACTCCGAACTAGTGGTGTTTCCCCCTTCACGCGTTTTTGAGACCTTGCGAGCTAAGCAGGCCTTTTGACTCACAAAGCCTTAACCTCCAGATGCGCAGCTATCCTACTGCGCAGTAGATAGATTCGAAGCCCATGTATTTGCCATGCAAGGTGTGGACTTGTTCGGGTTAAGCCATTCTATCGAAGACATGCCTGAGCTTGTTCTTCAATGAGGGAATGGATGGTAGAAATGACTCCGGGCGACTAGACATGACGCGCTGCAAGGATCCTTCTTCAATAGCCGTTGCCAACTTTATGCTATCATGTATATGATTTGTAGATGTCCTTCTTGAGTACCCCAGACCCATCTGCATTCACGTGCATCGGAAGGGTGCTACGAGAGGCAGCTGAGCTTTCCCAACCCGCGTGCTTCTAAAGGCTGAACTATTCTCCGGTCCGAAGCTTCTTCCGGGCGCGCCTTGTAAAAAGCTGTGACGGCCGCTGGCCGAAGATTCAATGTAGCCCACGCCCTGTGCGTCAACAACTGAAACCCCACACCCTGCAAAGGAAGGACTGTGGAGAAGCTCAATGATTGGGACTCGTGAGCCCACATTCAAGATTGCATGACCAACCCCCTGCTAAGTCTGCTATTCTTCAATTAAGGTAAGCCTGGCCGTAAGCCGTGTGTCGAAGCTTTTGTTTATGTGTGCAGGAGTGGTTGACACCTTACTTCTTGCGGTGCACGGAGTCGGGGGCCCGTTCGGGCTGTCCGTGAATGGAGGCTTAAGCATGCGTACCCGACAATAGCTCTTTTGATGACAGATGCACAATTCTCTGGTCAGCAGGTTGCTAATCCAAGCGCTGAACTTCTAAACCCCAAGTCCCCCCCATCCCCCCAGCCCCCAAGATGGAACGCTGAAGCCTGAAGCACACAGCATTAAAGATCATCTTTTCAGCAGGCTTGGAGCTTAAGATTTACAAGTTCCAGGTTTCTCGGTCTGGCACTGGTGGCTAGCACTGCACCGGTGTCTTCAGGTTTCTACATATCTCATTATTCCCACAGGCTTTACTTCTTTCCGTATGTTTAGTTGTCATTCTTCTTCTGATTATTTAGCTCTTGCTTCTTTTTGTGGCTGCTAACGCCGCTGTTGCTATCCTGACGGTCCGTCTCTAGGATGACCGTAACCTTGACGATCGTCAGAATACTCACCGCATCAGAAATATCGCAAATAGATGCAGACCCTGGATGATGTTGTGCTCCAATTCCATTCAACCTGAACAGCAACCCCAAGTTCCCTTTGCCAGATATCTCAACTCCTTGAAGTGGCTGGTTGGTCCCAAGACTTCCGGCTCAGATATCGTTGCATACGAAAACATCTCCGCAGGATCGGTGGCTAACTCCAGTCAAGATTACTGCGTGTAATTGAGGTTTCTGTCTGTTACAACCTAGTCCTAAACCCCAAACCCTAAACCCCGAATGTTTAGTGCTGGGAGGATGTCCAAGCCGGGGTCATTGCTGCTTTGGATGAAGAAGACTTATCTGTGAGCGTAATTTCAATGCTGAGAATCAGATCCCCTTGGCCCCCTCATATACCTACGAAGCTGATGAGTGGCATCCCTCATCTCGTCGCAACTTTGTGCCCCTTTTACTTGACAAGTGCACTCATTCCCAGTTGAAATCTGAGAATTGGTGGGGTTTTGTCGAAGATAAGCATGTCGCTGCAGCACTGCAGGATCTCAAAACACACTACACTACACTTTCGCGCAGAAAGGCGTAATTATCTGCTTCGAAGATTTCCATTGTGTCGTCACATCCCTACCCCTGAAACCCCACTGGGATGCCAGTGCAAACTTTGCGTCGTGTGCAAATGCGATTTCTTCAGCTTTGAAGGCACCACAAAACACACTGGGTTGGGGATCACAGCTTTATGGTTTTTATGGATGCCCCACGATGAGATCCTACTTACAACAAGTCTGGGCCAGCATGCTTGAGGGCTCATGCCAGCAGGGTGTAGGCTCAAGAGGGGAAGGATCGACGGCAGGGGTGGACAACGACGTTGGCCCAGGCAGCGGGGTGGAGTTGGCGGTTCTGACCATTCTTTTGAGCAGTGCTTCCACTGCTGTTCTTAATGCTGCTGACTACTAGTATTTGTGCTAGTGCTGTTGCTTCTGCTGCTGCTGCGGCGGCGTCGCGGAATAGTACATCCCAAACATCACAATCACAACCACAATCATCATCATCATCATCATCACCATCATCATCATCACCGTCATCACATCATCACGGCCGCGATGTTTAGTTGTACTGTAGATAGCGCAGTGACTGCTGCGGCTATGCTGCGTGCTACTCCCTTGTCCTCGCTACTTTCTCAGCAGTGCCTTCTTTGCAATATCGTGTCGCTGCATGTGACCTTGACGTGAGCGAAACCAGCTTGATCTGCAACCTTCCGTGTTTGCAGTTTCATTCCCCCCCAACTGAAACAGCCTAGCACGAGTCATGTTGCAAACGCCAATCTCTAGACTCTAAACCCTAAACCCATCTCCCTGAAATGGAATCCCAATCTAAAGCCTAAAGCCCCAACCCCACCACCCTGCCAATCGCAGCCTGAAAGGTCAAGGGGCTAGGAGGCCCATAGGCAAGACATGTGAGGTGTTCCAAGGCCCAAGAGTGCGAGACACATTTAGGAAATTAATGTTACGTAGACCCTTGATTAAGAAATCCTTGCGGCAGAAGAGAATACATTAAGGGCTCCAAACGTCTAGGTCATCATGAAAGGTCTCGTTAATCTGGAGCATCGCCTTCAAGGTGATGGTCAACATGAGTAGTCCAGCAGATCTCCGCAAATCCACCACACAATCCCCATAAGAACCCTGTACAGTGACCTGCACAAAAGTCCCAGGTTCCCCCACTTGGCCAAGCCTTGAGAGGACACGTGCGTCTTGGAGAGTTGGGCGCCCTATGGGGCGGTGGTGGGCAGCCGTGCTGCGTCTCGTCTTTTCACTTAGGCCGCAGAATCCGGATATCCCAACCCTACCGAGTGGCATCCCACCTCTTGGGTCTTTCGGGTCGAGTATATAGCTTCCTGTTTAGCAAGTGCTTCGGCGATCTTGTTCTCGAAGCTGCATCTTGACATGGTTACATTTCTGGAGGCCATGCTCGGCTTCTCAATCCATACTCTTTGCTACCACCACCTTAGGGTGTTGGAGCCTGAAGGACAGAGGCTTCCCTCAGAAGCAGTCGTGCCCGCGACTCCCCTTGCCCTTGCCCCAAGAGTGTAAAACCTAGCGCCTTGAACGCCATGATCAACAATATCCTATAGACGATCCTAGAAGTAGTTTACACCAGCAACCCTCTACTTTTTGTGTGTGTGTGTGGCGGGGTGTGCCATGTTCTGGTTTTCTCAGGGCCTCCTTGAAAGCTGCATCAAGGTTGTGGAGCGCGGCCTATGCCCAGATATACAAGTTCGAGAAGGCCAACGCGCCTGAGAGCAAGTCGCTGTGCCTCAGCCTCGTTGGATGCATCTCTCCCTAAACCCTTCATCCTGAAGCGTAATGCGTCAACAAAGAGAATGGGTGCCAGAGAAGGTCCCAATAGGTCAGCGAGGGCTTTGAAATTGGGACATGAGCTCTTTCTTTTTTTCATGTCTGTGGAGCTGGCTCATCTGAGGTGTAGTGTGAAACTTGGGATGTATTCAATTTGAGGGTATAGGTTGAGGACATTTCGCTGGACCTTTTTTTCCCCCCAAACATGCAAAAAAAGCATGTAGGGGTTCATGCAGGGCTTGACTATATGCCTCTTCCAGATCTTGGCTCACGACTTTCAGGAACCATCTGCAGAAACTCATGCTGAGGAAATGCAGTTAAATGTGGGCATTTTGTCTCGATACTTTGATGTCTACCCTCTCCTGGAGAGCGTGGAACCTGAAAACGGTACCATGGTAGGCTATAGATCTTCAGAAACAGGCACCAACGGGGTTGCAACCTGGCTCCTGCGGCCAAGAAGTCTTCAGCTAACGTGGTTCTTCTCTAGGTTTTTCTTCAGGTGGACAACTTGCAGTAAATTCCCAAGAGCACATCTTCAAATCTGGAGGATCCTTCATGCCACACCCTAGACCCTGCAAAGGAGCTTGCTATACGCCTTCTTCATCTTTGACCATCCAAATGCTACTGCAGCTCCCAATGGACCAGCGCAGCGTACGCCTTACGTGCAGTTCAAGGGCCTGAAGCTCTCGTCCACGTCAGAGGATTTCACCAATGACAAGCTCAAAAGTTACCAGGGTCTGCAGATCCATCTGATCAAGTACGAGGATCTTTGGTCTCAAGTTGACACCAGCCAGATGTGCGCAACGTCACAGGATGTCGCGCAAGGTCTTAGCAAAGTGCAGGACCACCTGATTCTTGGCGATGTTAGGTAGTCTTCAATGATCAGTGAGCGCCCCTGCTGTCAGCAATTTGCACATGTGGGTGTACTTTGAGGGACCCTTGGTTGTTGAAGCCACGACTCTGGCAATAGACTGTCAGTTCTGTACATTGTTCGGGGTCCTTTGCTGTCGTCTGTTTTCCCACTCCCCGAGGATTATGAAAGTAGCAGCCCCCCCAGTCCACTGGTGGCCTGTACTACTATTGGCTAACATATAGGAGCCTCTAAGGGTAACTGCCTCTAGATCCCTGCAGGGGTCTGCCCCAGGATCATTCGCAGAAACAAAGACCAGAGCTTCGAGGATGTCAACGTCTACCGGCACCAACTTCGATTCGGGGAGAAGGCACGCTGCCCGAAGAGTTTACAACCTAAAGTCACTGATGGCCGTAGGAAATAGAGGAATGAATCATGCCCATTTGCTTGTCCATTCCTTCATTCCCTTCTAAGCACCGGTAGGTACACCATGAACTTCAAAGTCTGAGCGAAATGTGTACATTCTGCTCTTTAAGCCGATCTGCCGGGCAGGGCTCAAGGAACTTTGTAATTAATTGTTAAGGATGCTTTGGGAGCCCTAATGCGCCATGCGGACGTCCTTAATCTCATCTGGCAGTCTTCTCGGGGTTTTCAGGGTTTACCGACAATGCTGGCCAGGGAGTCGTGACGCGATAGGTGCTTAGAGTCTTGGTGCTGCGGAAATGTGTGAGGGACATCGGCGTGGCGGCAGTAGTAAGAGCTTTGCAGATGGCTCTTCCGATTTACCCTTCCCGACCGCCGCCCCCCCTCGCCTGCCTGTCTTGCTGTATATGGCTGTCATCCATTTCCACGTCGTTGCCAGCTCGCCAGAGCATCTTGGAGCAGTTGTCAAAAGTAAGTCGAGCACCACTTTGGCTGTAGTGATGCCGAGCGAGCAGCTGTTGCCATTGTGGAGGCACAGCCTGTTATCCGCATGTTTGTAGGAGCCCGATGAGAAGATAATCGTCAAGAAAGGCGGGGTGTACTACCTCGTTGTGTCGAAGCTCGTACGCACTGGCACACAGGCATAGCTCAAGGGCTGGTCTAACCCTGAGCCTTGAAATCTTACGGACCAGATTATTGCCTAGTATTCTATATCGGGGCTGGTGGGGAGCCCTCGGCATCTCAATGGCTAACAGTAGTTGCACCTCTTTTGAGGGTCGCCCCCAATGGTGATGTATGGTATGTCAAGCTTGACTTAAGTCTCAAGTCACGCTGGCCATTGCTTTGTTGTCTGAAACGCGAAGATCTTTCCCGTAAATTGTTGATGTCGGAATGTAGGCAGTCCTTTTCCAAAAGGAATATTCCGTACGGTTGAAGATTCATTCCTTCAGTAAGGTGTACTTCCCGTACAATTATACTTCTTGTGTAGGTATATTATACAATCTCAGGACATTCAGCACTGTCATGCATTTCCGCTGCCCACAGACTTGTGTCCCTGTGACTGCTTTAACGTTTAGCACGTTTTTATTCCCAAAGCACCCATACCATTGACGCGCGGCATGTTGGAATCCAGGAGGCCTGACACTTCTTGCTGCAATCAGTTTCCGAAACCCGACATCTCAAACCCGGTGCGTGCTCTCACTTTTCGAACCTGCTGGTTGTGGGCAGCCACACCAGCAAAACTAGGGTCTTTTCTGAGGGGCTACTGTGACAATTGACAAAGCCTGGCCTCAGGAATTGTGGCAGCTATGATCAGGCAGGACAAGGTTCAAGGTTTGGTTTGTGGCCATAGTCAAGCAACATATGTTGAATTAAGGACTGGTGTAAAAGGATGTTGCTCCATTGAGAGTTTCTTGTGAGCTTTGATGAAGATTCAACTCTTGTCCCGTCTGAATGGTATGTTTTTGGCACGGCGGCTGAACACGAACTGGGTACTTCTTGATATGACACATGCAGTTCTTAATGTGGGCCGTATACATCCCGAAGGGTACCCTTATTTCGAGAAACACACATGTGAGGCCTGAACAGGCGTAGCCTTTGGGGCCTCTTGGATCTTTCTGGGAGCACGCCCATACCTTCTGTGCGTCATAGTCAAATCGATGGACCTAACAAATTGTGTCTGTACATGGCAGGTTTTCAGACTTGTGGCTGCATTCTGAGGGCCCTTCTACTCCACCAGCTGTTCTTTTTGGGAAAATGGGGCCCTAATATTTTGACAAGTACTCATGGGGCTTGTGGATTTGGCTTATGAGTTATATGCTGTGAGCAGGTCGGCCGGAAAGCCGCTCGAGTTGGTGGAAACCGTAGGCTTCAATGGGAATGCCCTCTGGGGATTCAAGGTCTGCAGACTATTTGCGGAAGAATGTTACTGTTGTCAAATGTCGCGGTTTGGAGTTCACATCTTGTGATTTTCTGATTTTTTGTTTTGGCTATAGCTGCCAAGTGGACGCCAGCGCACACCTCTGGACAGAATCCTTCGCCCCTGGATCCTCTGTAAATACAAGGTGAATGCAACCCAACAAGGCAACTCCCCAAGCCCCAACAGTACTCTGCACAGAGCCCTTCCAGCAGTCTGAACCACTTCTCGTTGGGATCCGCAAAAGGCATCCTGCTGTGTTTGTTTGGCACCCAGGATCCTGATCTGAATATCGGTCAATCCCGAGCAAATTTTTCATGGACTCCTATAAATCTTGTACAAGATAATCCACACTGCAGATGTTTGGTCGGGAGCCCCTAGAGGTGTCTGATGAGCACTTCCTTCCTTTGCGGGAAATCTGAGCTTAACCAGATTTGTTCAAATGTTTCTAGTTCAATGAAGCCCCTAACTCTTAAATCCCTATTTTAAGAAAATCAGCCGAGAGGCTCACTGTCAGCTCTTCCTCAGGCATCCATTAGCGGCGAGGTCATTGTCAAGAATGACCATGGGTTTCTGCCCGCCAACGAGTGCCCTCAACGTGCTAGTACTGCTGTTTGAAAGCTCATGGGTGGCCATGAGTCTGCTTCCTGGTGGGATGATTACAAAAATCCCACATACCTTAGGGAGAATTTTTAGTGCCATTTCAATGGGCGCTGGGGTGATGACCCGAGCGGCTACTACTTCCTGTCCTCATCTCTGTGGTCCTCGCGAGGAACGGTTGTAGTGATTTTTTCTCGTGTCCAATGGTATGTAGTTTCCACATGCTCCCCTCTGCAATGAAGGATCCTGGGTGTCACGTTCGATTCAGGATCGCGATTCGTAGGCTGCCTGCCACCTATTTGCCACCGTCTTTGTTTCACGCACTGTTGTGGAATTCTTGGGCTGTTCGCAGTGCAGGAAAATTTTCCATAGTGAAAAGCTTGCCAAGGCCGTCTAAGCGGGGAGTTGTGATAGAAGAATTTACTTCAAGGCTGCCAATGCTACGCGCCTACAGCCTCCAGTGCAGCAGGTACAGCAAGATGCCTTTCTATGCGATTAGCGGCGGTGTTTGCGCACTCCTGCTGTGCATCTGGCTGCTGCTTTGCGTGCGGTGGTGGACTGACACGGGCAAACCCAACTCTGACATCCAACCTTCCCAGCTTGCAGTGCGGTGAAATCCCTTCTAGCATGAGGCATGTTGTGATTTTTCAGGGTCTGGCCCAAAGTGCGGCCTAGACTTCAGAATAAGCAAATCCCCAGCCTCCTTGGCAGATTATGTTGGTATGCATCCTCAGCCCATGTGGCGGGGCCTTGTACCTTGGAGTGCAAGTAGAGGTTCAGAAGGCCCAAAGAAGCCCTAAAAGCAACACTTTACCCAAAAAAATGCTCAGAATAAACCGAATGACTAAGGGGGATCTAAGACTCTAAGAGAGGCTTAAATGAGCAGGAGTAGAGACACTGAATCATCACTCCTTGTAAGGTTGCCTCTTCAATGGTACTAATAGTATGGTACATTTCTTTGTTTTAGTTGTTCATGGCAGGCGCCTATCTGGGACCCTGAAAGGACGCAGCTGTTCAACATCCACCTCTGCATAGCTGCGGTCTGCGCTCTCGCTGTAGCAGAGAGTGGGCTCTGGTATTTCTTCCTGCTGACCTGGCCCCCTTGACTAGAAACTAAGGTTAAGGGGATTGTCTCGCCGGACGCATGACTATTTGACAAGGTTTTCATTGCGGGGAACAAGTTGTCTGTTGTGCTGAGCTGAAAGTGCCAAGATGCCTACTTTTTGGAAATGCTCTTCTCACCTGGAAGTGTTCGTTTAATTGTGGATCCTGTGCAGATGATTCGCTGAAGTGAAGATCTGTCAGAAGTACTTCAACTTGAAAGGCTCACTTGCTTGCTACCGGCTTTAGCCAGAGCAGGATTGTTCTTCGGCTAAGCCCTACAGCCCTCCCTTGCACCCCGCTAATGCAAACAACAAGTGGCCGTACCTGCTATTCTTTAAAGGAAAGCTTGTGATTCACATAACATGTTAGTGTCGTTGAGTTTGCTGGGTTCTGGATTCGGTTTTCTATCATTTGTGTAGTCGAAGTCACAGCCTCATGGGCTTGCACGATGCTGGGGGATAACTAGACATGTGTAACGAATCTTCTCCTTTGGAGGCTTCAACACTCCCTGTGCTTGTAAAGACAGGTCTTCCATTGGCATCTTCTGGGTTTTGATCGATATTATGATACTGCCGGTGCTACGCTTGTGGGAGAGGGCTTAGATAAAATCTGACATCACTGGCCGCTCCTTGTTATCGTGCTGTGTCATTGGAGATTCGGCATTGTTGCAGCTGTTCATGAAAGCTAACGGCTTTTCTGCGGCGTGTCACATGGTGGGCTGTATGGTTTACAGGTTTGCAACACAATGGAAGGGTGGAGACGGTGCAGATTTGCGTGGCAGTCATGCATTCGCCGGCACAAGCCCAGAAACCAGACTGCAGCCCCAAACCAGCAACTTACGCCAACAGCTAAGGAACAGCAGCGGGACGCACAGCAACGCTCTGTTTTCCACTGCGGTCATCTTGTCTGTGACAAGGTGCCTTGTGGTGGGGTGTGCTGCTGGAGACTCCAACCCCTGGATATTCCCCTGAATCCTGGAGGACTAGTCTTCAGTGGCCACGACTATTTGTTGTGGATATGACAAGGTGAGTAGGGAGGTTGTACAAGGAAGTCTTTAGCAGGGACTACGGGATTCAGGCCTTCCTTGATTTTTGCGAAAAGGATGGATTCCGTAAAGCGTTTATGCAGGACATTCTGTCCTAGAACACAAAGGAAAGCGGTCAGGCTTGGGGTTACCTGTTTTCCTAGAATCTGATCGTGCTATCCGGCTTGCATAATAATTGAAACTGACTAGTAGGAGCGGCTAGGAACTCTACTACAGTAAAGCTCACTGGAGTTTAGTGAGCATGAGGAGCTCCTGCGATTTCACGGCAATACTTGTAAAATGCAAGCATGGGCCCCCACAAAGAGGCATTCGGGAAGTATCACTTGTTCTCAGGGGAGGCAAAAATTTGTTGACAAGGGCAAGGGATTGGTAAACAGGGCTAGAGACGAAGTGGGAAACAAATGCAGGTCCGTGATGATGAACTTCTGCCCCAAGCCCTTCTGCTTCTTTTTCTGCTTGCTTGGACCCTGAAGGTCCACCTGCTCATATATGCTCGTCCTCCTCGCTTGCTTGGGCTGGGGGGTTACAAAGCCCATCCTGGATGGTTCGACCTTATGTCGCATCCTCCTCCTCTCCTTCATCTACATCGTTCTGAATGTGATCAGGGAGATCGTGCCCCCAGTCTTCGGCAATTAAGCGGTAGGTACGGTCAACATCATTTTGGCCGCTGCACCCTCGCGAATATGGTGGGACCGCATGAGCAAAGGTGGGAGATACGTGAATTAGTGAGGTGCGGTTACCGGTCCGGGTATGCCTTCCAGGGAATTATAGAAGGTATAGAAGGGTGTAAGTGTTCAGGACATACAGCTTTTAGAGGTGCCTATCCAGAGCTCCTCGTTGATTTTCTGTGGCCTTCACATGGCCTCATCAGTGAGCCGAGGCTGCCCCCCAGACCGAGAACTTGCGATAGGTTTATTGGTTTGTTCTTGAGCTTTTGCAGTAGTTCAATGGGGCTTTGCAAAGCATGACGGCGATTTGCAATGACAGCATGATTGGCCTTGGCTCCGGGCTCCCCTCAGCACTGTTAGAAGTCTATGTAAGTGGTGCAGTTAGGAAACGTAACACGCACGCACACGTTACCCCAAAGAAAGGTTTGCATAGCAGAAGCCGCTGGCCTGAGTGTCTCAAGACTCCAGAGCCAACCACCGCCATTTCCAAAACTCGGAGCCGGCATTGCCATACAAACATTTGTATCCATCCCTGGACAGGTTCCAAGTGCCCCATGCCCCTCCGTGACTTAAAGCCAAAGCCTCTGCACGCAGCAGCTTTTGTGTAGGTCATTCGCGTCTGATTCTCACTCCACCGGGTTTCCAGGCAAACATGTCATGAGCTTTTCGATGCTGAAACCCGAAGCCCCAGACTCCCGACTCGATGCTCAGGTTAGCCTATAGCCACTCGCAGGCCATACCCATGGCCTTCGTACTCCTTTGCCTCCATGGCCAAAGTTCGCGAGATCCTGAAGTGATGGTCCCTCCTAGGTCCAGTTGGACCCAAAGTGAGTATAGGGGATAAGCCTTCAGAATTTGTTTATGATAGTGTTCGGGACACCCCAGATGTTGTCCCTAAGGGGGACCTCCATAACCCGAGACACCGGTACATTGAGAAACTCCCAAGGGAGCCTATTCGCGAGAATATACCAATATGGGATGGGACCATGACTTGAGGCAACTCCGAGCAAGTTTTGTTCTTCGCTTGCTTCAGGATTCGGGCTTTTGGGGAATCTGGTGTATTTTTCGTTTTGGTGTTCCTCAACAGCAGATCTCCACCTCTATGAGTCCCTAACCTATGAACCGAAGCAAAAAAGGCGCTCCGCCTCTTTGCCAGTCGGAAGCCGAGGTCTAGTCCCTGTGTCGATTCTAAACGGTGGCATCTTCTACTGGAGCCCAAGCTGATTCAGCAAAAGGGATCGGCGGTCATGGTGTCTGCGATCGAAACCACGATAGATCCTACACTCTGACATGTGTGGAAGTCAGAAATCAACAGGTTGACCAGGTGTCTGGGGGGGTTTCAGGCTTAGCTGCGAAGACACGCGAAGACGAGTACAAACAAGTTTCTATCATCGAACCCGTATCATCTTTTCGTCGTAAAATGTCCAATCACTATCCAGCCAGTTTGCACTCGGGCCCTGACTCTCCATTGTGCGAGCCTCTTCGAGAAGCATGTGTTCGTGAAGCTTGTTCCCCGAGTCGCGACCATTCAGACTTTGAGCTTCCTCAAATCAGGCGACTTCGTGAAGAGGGGAGTGCTTTAACCAGCTCAGATTCCTCTATTTAGAACCCTGCATGCAAGTTTTCTTTTCGTATACACTTTCCAGTGGCCAAATTGTGCTAACGTGGACTTGGATTTCCTGTTTCTACGGTATCGACATGTCCACTTCTGAAGCACCAGAAATCTTGCAAGGGGCGTCGGGTGACTGTTGCAGGGTGGGGAAGCCCTAACCGCATGGCCGCAATCTCTTAAAGTAACTGGGACGAAGGATCTTCGCAGGCCTTACAGGACTTATGGAGACGCAGCTCGGTGGCAGTTGGGGTTTCCGGTCTTATGTAGATGCAGACACCAACTACCTGGCAAGACGAGCGATGAGACCACGCTAGCTAAAAAAGATACAACAAACAGCTGATTGGGCTGCATTTGCGCGGCCACGGATGCCCCGCGTGACAAGCGCCCTGATCATCAGTTGGCTTATCTTCGGCTCTGGGCCTTTCATGGGATTTTCTAGGTTTTGCCGAAGACTTGGGCCTGATCCCTTTTGGAGTATCCGACCTTATACTTCAAGTTGTGCCAGTAATTTTCACATGGTGTTCATTCAACCAAGGGCTGGGATACTAGCTTGGATGTAGTGCCGCGCTTGAGGAACACTGAGCTTGCCAGTTGCTAGCATGGGAATGTATGTGCAGCGAATTATAGGTTGTGCGCGCATGATGAACAAGATTATTCTGGTCATGGGCAATTTCAGAGAGATTAGGGGCTTACAGTAGCTAGAGTGCACGTGCAAATACATTCTAATTAGGAGGCATATGACAACCTCGAGCCCCAAAGCCAAAGCCTGCTTCAAAAGTATTCAGGCTGAAAGTAGTCGTTCCAAGGTTGTGTTTTAGGGCCTTGGGGGTTCCGACTACAAGAAGCTGATTCGTATGTAGTGTCTAGTGGAACAGCTGGCGAGGGTTTGCCGGCAGTGTTTAGGAATGTGTCCTTGCTTATGCGCCACCAGCCATCTGATGGACCCCCCAACTCATGTGAGCTTTTCGAAATGAAAGAATCCACCTAGAGCCTGGATATAGTTTCCTAGTACATGCCCCAATATCATGTCATGCCCACTGGCGCGAAAGCTTGAATGTAGCAGCTGAGCATCTAAGCAGGCCCACCCCTCAACGCCCAGCACACCCCCCAATACCCCCCCAAAGACCGAAGCACCTCGGGCTAAGGTTGGAGTCCCAGGGGCAAACGGAGAAGCTGCAAATATTCAAGAAGCTGCTTGGATCATAGCCCGGCTGAATCCATACCATTCTATAACCAGCCGTGCGCAAACCAAAGCCTGAGCCCCACCAGAAGCACAGCTGCGGACAACACACAATGGTTTTTGTTTTCTTTTTTGGGGGGGGGGGTGGGGTAGCGAGCTCGACTTAATCATGGCTAGCTCCTTGGGTTGATGGTGGAAGGACGATGGGTGGATTCCGGGTGGATTCCAAGGCGCAAAAGCAAAGCGCTCTGATCTTGCTATTTCTTCGTATTGGGCTGGTGTTTATTTTCATTACTTACCTATTTGGCGGGTGGTTTGGCTCTCTTATTTGGTTTCGTGCTCGCCCAGATAAATGCCTAGATAGATGCAGCCGGTGTCTAGCCTTTAACCCTTCGACAACTTGGAGGTCCGGGGCGTAGTCTTCAGCAGGTTTAAGTAGGATGAGTCGTATAGTTATACAGGTTGTCGATTTACTTGGGAGTGTTCACAAGTAATCCCGTTGAACGGGCGTACGTTTTGTAAGATGATGTTTTTAGGTAGTCATGGCGGAAGCGAGTGACCAAGCATCCGTCTGTTTATTCTTGGGGCAGTATTCTGCACAAGGGTCCTGGAGCACCATCGTTCCAAGTGTTTGGGGTTAATGGCATCGACTACATGGCTTCAACGCCGCATTCCTGGTAGAGACAAGTCATCTTTTCAGGACGGAACTTTGCAAGGCCCACTCCTAGACAAGAAATCCGAAGCCCGTACCTGCTTCACCTCGAGGTTGTGGTGGATCTTGCTGATAGCTATTGCCTTTGCCGTGGGGGTGCTCATGGCTCAGGCCTGCACTTTTCTTGCGCCAAGCACCTGCTTCTTTGGGGGCTGAGGGGGCCGGGATGACACCTCAGGGCATCAGTGGTTTGTTAAGAACCAGATGGTAACACACAAAACTGAATGATTTCTAGTAGAACTTCCGCCCATTCATCGCTTACAAGCACTGGGCACCATTCTTGAGGCCTCATTGCGACTTGTTCCTTAGACGCGCAGTCTGCAGAAATTGTTGTGTGTAAAGTTCCAAACCGACGTCTCTCAAGCTTCACAGTTTAAAGGCTGATAAAAGCATGGGCAGGGCCCGACCACCAACTGCTACTGCTGTTGCTACTACTGCTGTTCTAGCACATGTGCTGCAATTATAGCCAAGAAGCAACAAGCAATAGATATCGAAACGTGCAGTGGAGGTTTTCGTGTTCTCGCGGGACTTCCCAGCACGATGGGAGGCGGCGCCGTTGGGTTGGGTAACAGAGTCATCCTTGACGGTGGCTATCTTTGGGATTTTGAACTGGGCTTCCTCAAAGTTGTGCTTTACTTTGATTGCTCATCATGGGGAACACGTTTAAGATATGTAAGGGGGAACGTTATGGCAAGAATAGCAGAATCATGATCTGAGCATGAAGCCAAGGGTTCTAGGCTTTGCAAGCCTGTATGCTCTTATCTCCAGGCGTGCACACTTTGGGCCTAGAGGTCCCTCATCAAGGTCCTATAAGGTACTCATGCAGACAGCAGACATGAAGAAAATGCTCTCATGTGGAACCAAGGCCTAAAGTCAAAACCTCGGCCCCAGAGCCTAAATGCGACTAGAAGGCAGAAAGCATGGGCAGCCATCTCTTGCAGGGTTTCAGTGACAGTTCTACGTGAAAGTGGAAGGCTGGCTTTGGGGGATGATTTAGGTATCTTGGCAGACATTTGGACGACATGAAGGTTCTACAATTCTACACAAGGTGGTAGAAGCAGAGTTCTGGGGGGGCTTCAGTTTAGGTTCCGGCTTCAGGGCAGACGGAGGATGCTTTCGGTACAGCTTTTGGTCCCCCTGTGTACAACAGCTTTCAGAGGACATTTTTTGAGCATCATGGCTCTCCTGTGGAAACTCCTGCCTCGCCGCCATGGCATGCCCCTCATCACGCGGGTCCTAAGTCATGAAGTTCTCTGAGTATCAGGAGTTCATTTCAGGCCCTCTGGGGTTACCCAGCAAATGAAACATTGCAAACGGCAGCCGCATTCTGATCACATAAGTAGCATTTTGTTTTCACGCAAGCCTACACGCATTTTACTCTCAAATCATCCAGAAGGCTCCGTTCTGTTGGCAACATTTCCGTTAATTATCATGGGATACTAGGGGCGGAAATGGCGTTCCTCCTATGCGGCAACATCTGTCAGTTGACCGCAGGAGCAGTGGATGTTCACCGACGGCGCGCCGCAGGCCGGGGATTTGAGGGCATGGGATTTTCCCTCAGCGATATCGGAGCAGTCTAAGGAGACTATTCACAAGGTTCTCTCATCACGATTTCGAACTTACTCATGCCTCTTATGAGGATGACGGTTCAGGATTGCCTGTCTTGGGAATGCTAAGACCATTGTTACTTCTGGCAGGCAATTCAGGAGTCGTAGGTGTCGGGAGGCATCTTTCAGTCGTTGGAGTGAGGTGTAGGGTCTCGCAGGGGAAATTGTTTGTGGCACTGGGAGCTTTTCATTTGCAGGCCAAGCGCGGCAGCTATGGATTCCTATGATGAGGAAGGTTCACCACGCCACGAAACTGTCCGAATCATTCTAGTGATCCTACATGTTCAAAAGCATGCGTGCTGGCAGGTCGGGTACATCACCGTGCTCACAGCGATAATGTGCTTATGGGCACCAAACGAAGACAGCTGCGTGACTGCAAACTTGCGGCTAAGGTACCCTGGTCAGTACTTTCAAGTCAACGTCCGAGAGCCCGCGTCACCGGGAAGACTCTAAACCCAGTAGCCAGCAGGGGCATTGACGACCACGCCAGATTAGTCCCCGTTTGAGCCGCCTAGTGCCTCCGAACATAGGGACGAGCGGCACCGGTTTGGAAGAAAGGCCCCGCACACCCTGTAAGGCAACACTGTCCCAAATTTGGACCTGTTATAGTTATATGTAGGCTAGTGGCTCCCACCCAGCTGCCTCCCGTCGCTTTGAATCTATTGTGGGCTCCGGAAACTGCAGTTACTCCTCAGTCTGCCTTTCCTGGACCCGTATTCAGGCACATGGTATGCCATCCTTATGAGGGTTCCGTTGAATCCCTTAGGGGATATGCTGTTGCTGCTGGACTTTGCATGGGGAGAGGTCAGCGATTTGCGTACTCCGCGCAAATCGACCCCAACGCAGAGGATCAGAAGGCAAGCAAAAGGGGTTGGGAAATGGCTTTGGGGATTGTATGAAAGACAAATGTGTCGTTGCTTTACAAAAAGTGCTGGGGCTTGGTGTGCAAGCTGTGATGAATAAAACAACAGGTGGGATTTCAGTTATATATGGTTTGAGGATAGAATATTGCAGAATCAAATGGAAATGAACATTGAAAATTACATTGGTTCAAGGGCTCCCCTATAGATAGGTTACATCGGAAAGGGATTGTGCAAGAAAGCTGCCAGCCAGTCTTGATGACAGTGCTAAGGGAAAAGCAGGTGCCAGTCTGTTCCGGTTTTCTGGTAGGTTCAGTTCTGTTCTGTTGAAATCGGTTTTGCATGAGATGTAAAAAAGTCCCACCGGGTACGTCAGTTCGGCGCAAAGTGAAGCTCCATGTGCAGGTTTCATGGAGGCTCATGGTCGTTATGCTTCTCGGACCCCNNCCCCCCCCCCCCCCACGGTTCCACATGGCAGGACCTCTCCGCTGTGGTGCAGGCTGAGGTAGCTCTGAACTGACATCAGATGTGGTTGCAGGGTATTGTAGGGTTGAGTCTTTTACCTTGCCCCTTGTTTGGATACTTCATGCTTCAAGCATGGCTATGTTGATGCATGTAAGCGGGTAGGGCGGGAAGCCTCCAAGTTTAGGGCTTGGTATGAGGATTTAAGTTGAAGGGAAAGTGAGGCATTCAGCAGTTTGGCGTTAGACGTCTAGGGCTACTAGCATGATATCTGGACAAATTGAGGAAGATGCTCGGAGTGTAATTTGTGTTTTGAAAGGGTAACGTAGTGGTTTTTGGGGGCGAAAGTTCCACAGATTTTGCAGTGGTTGGGTTTTCGAGGATGCAGTAATTTAGGGAAGTTCCCCTACGTACATCTGCTCTTGCTCTTGAACAGAAACTCGACCCTGCACTGATTTCTGCGAGTTGCTTGCAGCAAAGCCTCTCCTTTTGTCTCTTGTCAGGAACCTAGTCCAGCCTTTTAGTGCAGAGCCCCCTAACCCAAAGCCCGTGCAGTTAGAGCAAGCGGCCAACTCTGCAGGTATCTACAGAAGGGATCCCAAATTTTAGTTTCCAGGAGGGAATAATGCGAGCCGCTTAGACCGATTTCCTTTCCACTTCCTGAAATCCACTTGCTTCAGACGTTTTTTTGCTCAATCGTTCATGAAGATGATGCGAACTTCAATGCCC